TCGGTGAAGGTCGAGTAATTGTCACCAGTTTTTGAATGAACATAGAAATTAAGTTGAAAATGTTAGCGGCAAGTTTGGTGCCTGGAAGGGCAAAAGTGTCTTTATGTGTAGGGTGGAAATGTGTAGTGGTGTGGGAGGAGGCATGGTTACGGACGAAATAGAAGCATTTGTGAGGTTTGACTTTGGGAGAAGAGGAGAGAATTTAGAGGGGGATCTCAGAGGCAGTGTGTCTGAAACAATGGGTTGGGACCACATCCTTACAATCCCATGTGCGAATGTTAGTTTTTTTTTTTTTTTTTTTGGATGAGAGGAGACAGGCTAGTGTGCTGGAGACGTTATGGCGGTTACCTTTCCGGCCCAATTCCAAGTGCAATGCCCACAGGATTTGCAGTGGTTTGGTTTCAGTTTTTTTGCCCCACGCTACACTAAGGTTGTTGGAAGTAGCTCTGTTTAACGCACGAGCAGATATTAAATGTATTTGAGCTTTGGCTTTTCATGTTAAGTGAAACTAACCTCTTTCGCTGCCCCCAAACTAATTGGTTGGTTTGGTTTCAGTTTTTGTCATCCCATCCATTCATAACAGATATAATTTTCTATTTATTTTCTCCAATTATTAATTATTAATGTAGCAAGTAGTATTTAACTACTTTGCCGATATGGTGGCATTACAAAGTTCCTCTCGGGGTGTCGGTCGAAATCATAATCCATGTTTCTACTGACGCGTTCATTAACGGTCCGATACAGTGCGCGTTCTTCAGGCATCACGCGGATGTACATAGGTGGCAAAAAAATTATAAGCCATTTGATTACTATATTATTTTATTGAATATTAATTATTCATAAAATGACAAGGACAGAAATTACAAATAATTTTAGGAAGCAAAACAGTGAGCTAAATTAACCGAGTCGTGGTGTGGCCTGATTGGACCAAATGGTAGTGGGCCACATGGCAAACCCTTATGAAGAACCAATCGTCCTAAAATCATAAGATTCCTCAAATAAAGAATAGAGAGTTTCAAGCTCGTTATTTTCCCATAGAAGGAAAACAATCCGATACAGAAGCCCCTTGGCTTAAAAATGAAGAAAACATGGCCGAACCACTGTTTTACCTGTCACAGCATACCTTTTATGGGAAAAATTCATTTATAAGTTTTTATAATTTTACTTGATTTTGAATTAAGTTTTTACATTTTATTTTGTTTTAATCAAAAGTTTATAGTTTGATCGATTAAATATGTTCGTCCCTGATTGTTAAAATCCTTTAATTTTATCTTTTAAAACAAGAAATTAAGAACTTCTATGTGTTTAATAAAAGATTATATAATTTCAATTTCACAATTTTTGTAAACCAAATTTATATAATTAGGTCGTGTTATCTAGATAACTTATATATATATATATATAGAGAGAGAGAGAGAGAGCGAGTTTTTGGACAAAATTAATAAAAATGCAATTTGAATTATCCCTTGAATATTGACCCAGGGTGCGTTTTGTTTTCATCTATTTAATATTTGAAATGAATTTTTGAACTTTTTGAATGTTAAAAATTGTTTGGATAATTTTTTAAGGAGCAAAATGACTTTCTAAAAGTGAGCAAAAATGGGTTTGAAATGTAAATTTTAAAACTCTATTTTTGGGTGAATTTTAAAAGTTCATTTCCAATGTTAAATGAGTTGGGAGCAATTATGAGGAGAATAATTGGATACTTAATTTTCTAAATGACCATAATATCCTTTGATCCATATAACTTCATACACTAATGAAGGAAGTATGATTAACACTAATAATGATAATGACGAGTATACTTTTTCATCATCAATTCTAAATATAATTTCAAGCACGACTTCTGATAAAAAGATAAATAGGATTTGAAAATCTATTAAAGATCAAATTATATATTATAGATCAAATCATTAATCAAGTATATTTTTTTCCAATATTAAATTATATCTTTTCTTATTATTTAACATCTTAAATTTCATATTATTTTTTGACATTTTTTAAACAGTTCTATATTATATGTGTATAATAAAAAATTATAAATTATCATAAATCAATATCTTGTTTAGTCATTGCATATTTAGAAATACATTTTAAAAGCATAAATTTTCATCAATTCAGACAATTTTTAGTTTGCCAAATTGACTTTTGAAAAAATATATCCAAATACAAATGTTATTACAACAACTGATTTTCACTCAATTGACTTTTGTCAAATGAACTTTTATTAAACTGACTTATAACAAATTGAAAATCAAGCATACATTTAAAAAACTTTTGTTATTCACACTATTTCTCCAAGGTGGAAATGGCTAAACAACAAATTTTTTCAAGAGAGATTTTAGACACATCTCTTTATAATGATTAGTTAATAGCTATGTGCAACTCTAGTTGTAACTCATTTAATAACGACTGATGAAACAATAGATGTATATTTGGGATTGATTTCATTAGAATCATTCAACATGTAGTAGTTTTCAAACATCTGTTGAATCTCTTCAATCTAATGAACAACATTTCATTCCAAAGGATTCACACATGCTTCATTCATCAACGAGCTTAAAATCTTCAAGGAATTATCTATAGATCATTCCAAAAAATGATTCTACATTAGGAAACTACACTGCTTGTAGTTTTTTATACTTATTAAAATGTTGAAACCTTTCTCTCAAGTTTTCGATCATTCTTGAGAGGAATTTTCATAGCATCTCTTATAGAGTTATGTCTTTTTTTGTTTTTTGCAAATCAATTCAAGCTCCAAGCTCACGGAGTCTATACCTCTATTTACGTGGGTGTATATAATAAAAAATCAACCACAGTCCAAAGGATAGTTTAGAATTGTGAGTATTAGTTCTAGCAAAATCATCTTCCATGAATTCTAGCTCTTCATTAGGATCCTCTACAATTAGCTCAAAAAGGGTTAGTTATACCTTGACAATTTTGGTAACACCAACTAGATATTGATTGTCACTAAATTCTAAAATTTTAGATGAGACATGAAAGTTCAGTCGAAATAACTAAATCTATATCTCTTTTAGTATAGGCCTACATATAAATAGTTTTTTTTTGATAGAAACAACAGTTTTTTTGTGGGTTTACTGATTCTATTGGACTTTTGACTTTTTTGATAGATGAGGGTGGTGTTTGTTTTGGTAAAGGAGTTCACTTTACTTGATTTGAAATTAAGTCCCTGTAATTTATTTTATTTTAATAAAAGCATTATAGTTTGATTGATTAAATATATTAGTCAATGATCATTAAAATCCTTTAATTTTTTTCTTTTAAAAATGAAATCAAGGACTTCTATATGTTCAATAAAAGATTATATAATTTTAGAATTACTTTCACAATTTTTATAAGTCAAAATTTATATAATTAGGTTTTGTTATCTAAATAATTTTTATATACGTAGAGTTTTGATAAAAAAATTATAAAAATATTAAAATTGTTGTAAATCAAATTTTTTATTAAAAGTATTAAATTAAATTTTTCATAAATTTTAAAAGTTTTCTATTTTGAAAAATTTAATCATTCACTAATAATTTTAACTTTCAATATTTAACCGATTAAAATATAAGAACCTGATTAAAAAGAAATAAATTATAAAAACTTAATTTAAAATTGAAGAAAATTAGAAAGACCTCTAAATGAATTTTTCCTATTTTTCGTATCCTTTTTTTCCCGTGGAATGGCCTAATTTCTCTTTTAAAAGTAAAGGGTTGGGGGGGGGGGTGTGGCGAGAAAAAGAAACGCGAGACTTGGATATGAAAACGAAACCAAGTTTCCAAAGCACACGAGCCGAGAGGAAAAAATGGGGATGCTTTTGGAGTTGGAGTGGCGAGATACGCAAGATTCCACGGAATCGTCCATCCGCTCCTGCCTGTGGGGCATCATGTGACGTCGTTTTAGGCGCCGTCTTAGACTGAGCAGGTGATCCTCCAGTCTCAGGCTATCTATGCTCGTGACTTATTCTTCTCGTGGGCCAACCTGGCCCACTTCAAATATCACTTCTTCATCAAGATTCAAATCCAAAGGATTTGTGACGGCCCAAACAAAATCCATTCATTTACTTTGTTGACCTTGCCTCTTCAGCAAGGTCCCTTTTTCGTAAGCGTGGCAAAGAATTAAGCCTCTAATAACATGCTTAAGAAACATAACTATTTGTCAATCGCGTCCGGTCTTGTTAGCAGGGATTTATTATTTATCAACTGTGTTGAATCTATTTTGTCCCGCTGTCATTCAATAAATACAAACTTTATATATTTAAAATATAATATTGAATTGAAAATAATTCAATTTTATGACAAGGATTTAACAGCACTCGTAAAAATTAATTTTATAAAATAAATATCAAATAAGTTTTTTTAATATATTCTTTTTGACGCACTTCTTCTTCTAAATCATTTCAGTGGGTACCAAGACTAATTAAAGGAGGTGATTTAACCTGTCAACTTTCGACGCGACTACCATCACATATCACATATATGGTATAAAAGCCTTACATGGATGAATGATAATTTGAAAAAAAAATACAATCAAAATTCTCGGCCTTCTTTAATCCTAAGCATCGTTTTTATTATTTCAGAGACAAGACACGGTGAATTTCGAATCTAAAATAATAACTTATTTTCTCTCTGGGTATTATTATTCATATTCATGTACCTTGCATGAAAATTGTAACGTTGCCATCACCGAGAAAGTCATAGCCTTACTTTCTTTTCTTTTTTTTTTACTGGGGAAAATTACAATTACATTACAAGAAGTTCTTTTTCTTTTGTATATCATTACTTGATCTGAATCTGACATAGCAACATTCATAAATGCTGTAAATTTACTTCAGTTTCAGACGCCAACATTTTATCTTTGGTAAGAGGGAAAAAAGCTAAGACATCAACTTTTTTGTCGAAATAAAATTTGTGACTGTTAAAAAAGCTTGTCCTGTTTATTGGTACATGAAAAGAGAAAAAGAGAAAACCAGACCAGTGAAGGAGGAGGGAGAGAGAAAAGGACGAAAATAACGGAAAAAACTAAAAAAATAAGCAAAGAGAGGTAGGGTCATGGGTTTCAACCACCAAAGCAGCATCCTTGTACGCATAAAGTACAGAACAGACCATCCATATCCAATCTTCAGTCATCAATTTGGAAGCGAAGAGCTCTTATTCTGGCTCTCTGCTAACAGGATCACAGCCATGGCAGAAGAAGCAGCGTCCAAACTCCAACCACAATCACAGCCTGAGACACAGTCTCTGTCCGAGCCTGTGAACTCCTCACCTGATTCCTCCGTTAAAGAAAGCGATTCCGCCAAGGAAGAACCTCCAAACGGCGTCGTACAAGTTCATCTTTCAACTGTTCAGAGTAAGTCTTCCAAATCCCTCAGTTTCTCATCAGTAATTGGTTTCATTCTGTTTCTTTTTTATCATAGCTAAGATGCTTCTTATACAATTTCGCTCTGTTGTACAGAACCTCTTCTTTTACACTTCGAACTTGCTTCTTAATTTCTTTAGAAACTCTTTTTATTCAGCGTTTATTGCTTTTTGATTGTGAAGGGCTAAAAGGAATGTCAAGTTATCTACTCTTTCTTGGGGAATCTTATTTTTTGTTGGTACATGAAAGGAAATTTCGTTTTCCTACTTGGATGAATTCACTAGCACGTTACTCTTTGTTTATGTTACTATTGCTTATTTGATTTGTCCTGATTTTGATGCAGAGGTTGCAGATCCTCCAGCCAAAAAGGATTCAAAAGATTTGGTGGATAGAGGTTATTATCTTTTTCTTTTTTCTTGTTTGACAATAAGTGTATTGGATGATTGATTTTAAGAGATAGGCAACTCGGAAATTATTATATTTTCAGATTCTGTGCTTGCGAGGGTTGAAACAGAGAAACGACTGGCCTTGATAAAAGCATGGGAAGAAAGTGAGAAGACAAAGGCGGATAACAAGTAAGACGCCATCTGATGACAAATTGAGATTTCCTTTTTATGATGAATCGACACAGCGTGATAATGTTTTAGTAAACGAATATCTGATCATAATGATATATTAATGCTGTGTGTATCATACAAATCACAAAACTTAAAGCATCAAATTCTCTCCCTTAACTTCTTCAGTGACAATTTTCTTCTTGGGAAAATGGTAGTTGGTCATTTTGACAGTGGTCTCGAGTTAATCTGATTTCATCTTTGAACTCTAAATATAAAAACTGCTATTTTAAATGATTAAAACTATCATTAATGAGTTACACCGAGCTAGAATTTAAAATGTGAGTTACGATCAAATCAAAATTATAAAAAATGAATTACAATGTATTAAAATTCAAGAGTTAAATTATAATCAAATTAAAATTATATAAATTAAATGATTAATTTTTCTTTAAAAAGACCTGGTGAGGACTCTTCTCAAATAATCAATATGGTGTGATGAAGACGTTTTAGGTTCGCCCTTGTATACTAAGTTATTAGCTTGTCTTTGTAATTAAAAGAAGTTTGATTTCATAAGCTACTTTGCTCAATGCCATTTTGGAGGAATATAACGAGAATGAATCTGAAGGTATACTTCGAGAAGCTGGCCCTGAGACTTTCTCTGACTACTTATGCTACATTGAATGTTGTGATTGATGAAACTAAAATTGTGAAACAGGGCATACAAGAAACATTCAGCTGTTGGGTTGTGGGAGGATAGCAAGAAAGCATCTGTGGAAGCGCAGCTCAAGAAAATCGAGGTGATCCACTCTAAACTAGATGATCACGACTCAAACACTGTAATTTCCCGTAAATTTATTGGGTACGTTGATTAGTATATTTGAATGGAGTGCTTGGATGGGCAGGAAAAGCCGGAGAAAAAGAAAGCGGCGTATGTGGAGAAAGCGAAGAACAAAATAGCAGAGATTCATCAGTTAGCAGAAGAGAAGAGAGCAATGGTTGAAGCCCAGAGAAGGGAAGAGAATCTCAAGGTTGAAGAGACGGCTTCCAAGTTCCGTGCCAGTGGCTATACCCCGAGAAAATTCCTTGCTTGCTTCAGTGCCTGACTTGTTTCACCAAACTGCCAAATCCACTACTTTACTCCGTCGGATTGCTTTACTCGTTTCATGTTTTGAATTTGCTTCAAAGTCTTCTGTCTCTTACCGTGTAATTTTCAGAAAAAATTGTTTGAGGTTGTTTCGGTTACTTCAAGTGTTTGTCATAAAACATTGTGAATACCGTGGAATAAAGTTACAGACTTTTGATTAAATTCCCTTGTAATTGTGGGTCCTTGTCTTTTGAAATCCGCTCCGTTCTTTTCAATTTGTTACTACATCGGTTAACAAGTGCTGGTTGGTAATGTTGCAACGGGGAAAACGGGCCGTCATTGTTTTAAGTCCGAAAATAACGAGAGCCAAACTATTAATTTAGGGTATACAATGAAACTGCAGGCTTACAACAATTAGTCCTAACAGGCCTAGCAATAAAAAAAGCCGACCCTAGCGCGGGACAAGGCTTGCATGAAAAAATTTGTAAAAATTACTGTTTACTTAAAAAAAAGAGACCTTATAACTTGTTTATTAAAAGGAATTTGTTCGTGTATGTATATATATATGTGATCAGAATTTGTATTTAATTCTAAAGTTGTTAAATTTTTACAAGCAAATGTAATTTAATTTTATAAGTTTCTTTTGTGTTTGTGTTGTTTTTTATTGTTTCTATTGGTAAAATAGAATGGTTCAATATTCAGTGTAACGTTAATTTTGTTTCTCTGTTTTAATTTTGGAAACATTTAAATGGGCTTCACAAAGAAGGGGAACCATATAATGTCTATTGTAAATATCATTGGATAGTTCTCACCTCTTTTTAAATTTTGGAGCTTTTATATACATGACCCATGTTATAAAACTAAATAAAAGAAATAGCCTCTTATTTCTTAATTTTTAAAAATGACCTTTTTAACATTTAGTTGATATATAATTTATAAAATTATCATTTTAAAATTATAATACTCTGCTTTTTGTAAATACCAAAATAAACTCAAAATGCAAGAAATCAAGCGAATGAGAGAGATAAACATGAGCTACAATCATGACATAAGAAAGCAAGGCAATGTGAGCGAACCATAATCATGACAGTGAAGAGCAAGTACGAGGCGAGAGATATCAATGGTAATTGACAAAATAGAGCATGTTGGCTAGAATACAAAGTTATGAAATTTTTTTCAAACTATATTTGATCTTATTTTGAACAAATGATTATGTATTCTTGTGTTATTGATATGTAATACTATATCATTAATCTACGATTGTACATCAATAATAAAAAAGCTTATATCTAGTTGTCTGATTATGTTGATATGTAAGAGTATATCATTAATATAATATCGTAAGTCAAAAACATGAAAATAACATAATCATTTGTCCAAAATAATCAAACTAGATTCTAAAAAGTTATAAACACCTTAACTTATCATAGAAAATCAAATATCTAAAATAATAAAATAAAAATCATGAATAGTGAGGGAATAATATGTGTTTTCTATTGGTAATTCAAACAAAATTCATGATTAATGACAACAAAGAACTGATTATGAACAAATGATTTTATTGATTCAGTAAAGATATTACCTATATAAATGAAGATGATGAAGATTTGATGATAAATAATACTTTTCAACTTTCATAAAATAGAATGCAAGACAACTTTAATTTGGATTTTGAACTACACAATATAAAACGCAGCAGAATCTAATGATGGTGTTTAGTCTTTAACGTCAAATCTCAGCTTTGTAATGTACTAGAATAAAACAAAGATGGAGTAAAAAGAAAAGCATTGACATATGAGACTTTTCTTTTTCGTGATGAAAGAACGATTGAGAACGTACAATTCAATTAGTTAAAAATTAATTATGAGAGACATATTGTGTTGTAATAATATATTTATTTTGAGAATAAAAAAAATCACATCAAATTATTTTTTTGAATGGACCATATTCCAATATATTAAAAAATCCCATCTATAATTTATAAAAATTATATTTTTTGAAACTATTGAGCTAATTTACTCTCAAATTTTTTATAGTAAATAAAAAATAAAAGCTTATCAATATTTTATAATGGAAAAAAGTTAGCTTGGGAGTCAAAAGGAAAATAAGTGGTGAATATGAAAACTAATATGAAAAAATAATTGAATCTAATCATAGTATAAGTTATCTTTTGAAAGTATTATCGAATTTAAAATACACAATGTTGATTATTGTTATAGTGATTTTTCAGTTAAACTCCAACCTTATTTATTACACTTTTCAGAGTAATGATTTTTAAAATTTCAAATGTTATTATTAAGGTACATATATAGAATATTTAATAAGGATACAATTAAAAAAATGATTTTTTTTTAAAAATTAAAATGTCAATTAACCTTTTTGAAAACTACCAAGAGTTAATATGCTGTGCAATGCACGGATATAAAAATATAGTTATGGATATTGCATCGATTTGAAATTTCGAAGCACTGTACGTCGGATTAGGGGTGGAGAAATGAATTTGGAGTTAATAGACATGTTTACGTGTTGGTTGCCCATTGAAGTCACATACCAACGGGCTCGTCCGAAGGCAAGGTTAATATATTTATTGCAACGCTAATTTTTTACATTTAATTTTATGTGTCATAATTTTTTCATTACAAATCTATTTATTAGATTTTAAAATAAAAAATATATATACATATTTGGGTTGAGACTTGCAATGCCAGCCCATTAATTTTGAGAGTCAAAATCAAGCATTAAAAGTAAAACCCTAAAATATAATTAGATTTAAGAGAACTAACCCCTTCAAACGTTATGACATTTTAAGAACCAATCTTAATTTTTATTTTTTTCATAAATATATCTGGAGATTGTGTGTTTTAACTTTTAACTAAAAAATTGACTGTGTGATGCATGATGTTAAAAGAAAAATTTATTTTTTATTAGTTAATGGGTTGAAAGAAAATTAAAGAGAAAGAATATAATTAATAAGAAGGGTAATATTTAAAAAAAATACTAATAAAAATTTATTTTTATTAAAACGTTTTATATTTCAATATATAATAAATCTCCACCAAAATTTTTTATTAAATGGGACTGAAGTGAGTATTTCAGACTCTACACGCAGAATTATAAATTATCACACAATTATGAGTTTTTATGTTATAGTTATAGAAAATATAACAAAATATTAAATAATTTTTCATACTGTAGAAAGAACAGTGATTTTAGTGTAGGTAGAACTGTAATTCGAATGGAATTCACGAAAGGCAAGAAGTTTTTATTTTATTACTGTCACATGCTCGGCTGCTCCTTTTCTTTCTTTCTTTCTTTTTTTTAATTTAAAATAAACAAAATTAGTTGATAATGATTTACTTTCTCCTATTCATATTATAAAATATTTTCAATCATTTTACATATTTAAAAAATTAATTATTTTAATATTATAAAAAATAAAATGTATTTTTATTTTTATTTTAAATTTTAAATAATAATATAATTATATTAAATATTTTTACATTAATTAAGAAGAGGTAAATTAAAACGGTGATTTAATTATTATATTTTTTTATATTTTAAATTAAAAATTATTTAAAAAATATTTTATAAATATGACAAGAGAAAATATATGACAAGGGAAAATAATAGGGCCTCGTTTTGTATGATGGAAGAGTTTTTGATGAAATTGAAATCAAAATCGAAATTGGAATCGAAATTAGAATTGAATTTTAAAAGGTGTTTGGTATAAAGATGGAATTTTGATTTAATTTTAATATATATATGTGTGTGTGTATTTAAAATATGAAAAGACTAATATATCCTTTTAAAAAAATCATCTCTCTCATGTTTGTCTCTCTCATTGGCCATTGTCACCCTACGAAGATCTCTGTAGCTTTCAAAAATATGGGTTGAATCAGAAAAAATTTGAAGCATATTCATAACCCACAAAATCCCCATGAGAGCATCGTCGAACTTGATTCCATGGTCGAGCAACCTCCATGCTATTATCCCACCAGGTTTACCTTTTGTATTTTTCGTTTTTGTAAATCACATGTCCTTTAGCTGGTTCATCGTGGCAACAAAAGCGACAATGATGATTGGAGTTTAACAATGAAGTTGAAGGCAAGTAGTTGGAGGTGGTTAAAGGTGAAGCAAATGATAATAGATGGAGGTGGAGGAGACAGAGAGTGATAAGGGTAGAAGTAGCTTTAAATTTTAATTTCAGAGAATCGAACGAATTTCATGGAGCCTGAGATGAAATTGAATTCTGCATATTTTGTTGAAATTGGAATTTCAATGAATCTAAAATCTATAATACCAAACAAACTTACATCAAGAATCCATTTTCAATTTCATTTTCAGATTTAGAATTCTATGATACTAAACAGAGCCTAGAAGAAGCGAGTAAATACGATAACAAATTAGCACTAGAAGCAATTGATTTTTTCTTTTTAAATTTATTTTTGGGTGGGGTTCCGTATTTTTTTGGCCTGGGAAGAAATAGAAAGCAATTGAATTAAGCGCTGGTTTCCCACTAGTCTCCCATAGACATAAACCCTAAACCCTTCCTTCTCTGCGGATTGATACTGTGTCTACCCCCGGAAGCCATGTACTCGTTAATCGTAACAGAACGATCTAGCACACTGTCGAAAATTCTCTGCAATTTTATTTTGGCCCGAAACATGGGTGGGGGTCCTCGGACTTTCCCGGGCGGCGTCAGCAAGTGGAAATGGAAGCGCATGCACGAGAAGCGAGCCAGAGATAAAGAGAGAAGGCTTCTCGATCAAGAAAAGCAGCTTTACCAGGCTCGTATTCGCTCCCATATTCGAGCGAAACTCGCGGCAAAACCTGACACCTCAAGCGCCACTCACAGCCCTATGGCCCCCGAGGACCACATTAAGGCCTTAGCCAATCGATTTATGAAGGAAGGGGCTGAAGATCTCTGGAACAGAAACGATGGTCCGTTGAAGCCTCCGCCTCCGCGTCTCAGAGAATTTCCGGGATCAAGCAGACGGCGAGGATCAATCGCGTCGCCCGTGGATCTGAGGAAACTGGTACTGGAAGGCCGTCGCATATTTTCTGATCGCCAAAATGACAATCTGATGAATACGAGTAGTAATTATACTCCGACAAGGAATTACTCAACGCAAAGTCGAAGGAAGTTTCAGAAGAAAGAGAGCTCGTCAGATGAAGAAGATTCCACTTTTGGTTTGGAGGGAAATCCTGCAAGATCCATTGCC